CTGCCCAGGGGGACAGCTTGAGGCTCTGTCTCAAAAAAAAAAAAAAAAAAAAAATCCCTCAGGGATACTAATAACTGTCCTCATTTTGAGATATATCCTATCAAACTACTTACTGTTCATACATTTTTAAAAATTTTTTTTTGCAAAAATTAGATCATTCTAAAAAAATTTAACACAGAGACACACAGTACAAGTAAAACTGGGGAAATGGGCTTGGCGCCTGTGGCTCAAGTGGCTAAGGTGCCAGCCACATACACCTAAGGTGGCAGGTTCGAATCCAGCCAGGGCCCACCAAAACAACAATGACGGCTGCAACCAAAAAATAGCCAGGCGTTGTGGTGGGCACCTGTGGTCCCAGCTACTTGGAAGGCTGAGGCAGGAGACTCGCTGGAGCCCAGGAGTTGGAGGTTGTTGTGAGCTGTGATGCCATGGCACTCTACCCAGGGGGATAGCTTGAGGCTCTATCTTAAAAAAAATAAAATAAAATAAAAAAGAAAACTGGGGAAATGGAATAAAAGGACTATATCAATATCAGTATCCTAGCTATGATATCATATAATACTATAGTTTTGCAAAATGTTACCATTAAGGAGAATAGGCAAAGTCTATAAAGGCTTCTTTCTGTATTATTTCTTGTATGTGGATCTATAATTATCTCAATCAAAATTTCGATTTTAAAAAATTCCCATTAAAAAACTGAGGTCAGGGGTGGCACCTGTGGCTCAAAGGAGTAGGGCGCCAGCCCCATATGCCAAAGGTGGCAGGTTCAAAACCCAGCCCCGGCCAAAAACTCCAAAAAAAAAAAAAAAAAAAAACTGAGGTCAGGGGTGGTGCCTGTGGCTCAAAGGAGTAGGGTGCCGGCACCATATACTGGAGGTGGTGGGTTCAAACCCGGCCCCAGCCAAAAAAAAAAACAAAAAACTGAGGTTATCATGCCTGTAATCCCAGCACTTGGGAGGCTGAGGCAGGTGGATCACCTGAGCTCACAGGTTCAAGATCAGCCTGAGCCAGAGTGAGACCTTGTCTCTAAAACTAGTGGGGCATTGTGGCAGGTGCCTGTAGTCCCAGCTACTCAGGAGACTGAGGCAAGAGAATTGCTTGAGCCCATGAGTTTTAGGTTGCTGTGAGCTATGATGCCACAGCACTCTACCGAGGGTAATAAAGTAAAACTCTGTTTCAAAAAAAAAGAAAGAAAAAACAGATCGTTCTATAAAACTATCACTGCCCTTTCCACAGAGTAAGCCAGGCCTTGTTTTAAGCATTCCACAGATCATCTCAGCATGTCCCATGTCCACATGAAGGAGGAACTGTTACCACCCTCATTTTATAGATTTATAAAAGTTACAGACACTGAGGCCTAGGAAAGGTCAAATGACTTCCCCAAGGTCACAGAGCTGATAAGCTTTGTTCCTCCATTAACAGGGAGTTAGATAGGCTTTTTTTTTTTTTTTTTTTTTTGTAGAGACAGAGTCTCACTTTTTCGCCCTCGGTAGAGTGCAGCGGAGTCGCTCCAGCAACCTCCAACTCCTGGGCTTAGGCGATTCTTCTGCCTCAGCCTCCCAAGTAGCTGGGACTACAGGCGCCCGCCACAACGCCCGGCTATTTTTTGTTGCAGTTTGGCCGGGGCTGGGTTTGAACCCGCCACCCTCGGTATATGGGGCCGGCGCCTTACTCACTGAGCCACAGGCGCCTCCCTAGATGGGCTTTTTAATCTAATGTTCCGCTGGGAGAATATACAGTAGATATTCCCAATTTTTTGACATTTAGATTGATTCAGATTCTGATTCTTCTGGATTTGCACAATGGACATCTTGCACACACACAAATAGCAGAACACCCCTGAAGTCCTACCCAACTCTGAGAATTGGGATTCTTGCCTTCTACAAGACCTCTGCCCCAAATTCCACTTACTTACCATGTGCAGAATAAGGATCCAGGCCGCATGCAGGACATCAGACGTGACCACCTATCAGGGAAAGGAGCACTCTGCTGACAGAGTCCTCAGGCAGATGGCATTGGAGGGTGGTACCCTCTTGTCCAGGAAAGGATCACAATATAAATCCACTCAGGTACCAAAAGGACAAAGGCAACGTCAAGAAATGGTCAGGCTCAGTGCCTGTAGCTCAGCAGCTAAGGCGCCAGCCACATACACCAGGGCTGGCGGGTTCGAACCTGGCCTGGTCCTGCCAAACAACAATGACAACTACATCAGAGGAAATAGCTGGGCACTGTGGTGGGTGCTGTAGTGCCAGCTACTTGGGAGGCTGAGGCAAGAGAATCGCTTAAGCCCAAGATTTTGAAGGTGCTGTGAGCTGTGATGCCACGGCACCTACTGAGGGCGATATGAGAGTATGTCTCAAAAAAAAAAAAAAGACTGATGGTCATAGGCAGGCAAGGATAAGGGAACCGATGACCTCCACCTGAGCCACCTCCTGCTCCCTGATTTGAGGGGAGGCTGCAGGCAACAGGTCAGAGCTGGCTGAATGAATACTAGTGGGAAGTCAGCTCCATGGCAGCCACACAGCAGTCCCCTCTCCTGTAGGTACCACCTCTATCACCAGAGCTTGTCCATGCCTGTGGCTCTCCTCATTCTGCATGCCAATGTACCATGCAGAAAAGATGACCAAGTAAAGCAGCTGGGTGTGTGTAGGACGAGGACCCAGAGGGAACACGGACTCACATGTCCTGCCCAAAGGAGGCAGATGTATCTCAGTCCCAGTGAACAGTTGCCGTAAGAGAATGACAACCTAAGGTAGCAAGATCTTTGAACTTTTAAAAAGAAGCCAGAAAGCCTCATTATGACTCTCTGAAAACACTACAAAATCTGGCCCTGCCTTCTGCCCTCACCAGATGTCAGGACAGAGATGAATGCCCAATTTATAGGTACAAAAACTGAGCCCAAAGCCTAATTGGCCAAGCAATGAAGCCTCAAGATCTGGGAATTTCAGAAACAATCTGGTTTCAACAGAAACGTAGGGCCGAGGGATAGCTCTCGGAAGAACTCACCGTGAAGCCTGCCCGGGCACTCAGGTGTTCAGCAGCCACAAGCAGGGCGTTAAGGGTGGCTCCTCCGCTGCCCACGCGTATCTCAGGGTCCTCCACAGCCAATAACAGCGTCCCAGCGGGGATCTGTTCCCGCTTCTGCCGCACCTCCAGCTCTATGGTCAGAACATGTGCTGTGAGCTGCTCTCTGCCTCCCTCCCCGCCCTGCTCCAAAGCACCTGAGCAAGCCTAATGATGGTCATTAGTTTAATCTTCTTTGACTTAGTAGCTTTTATGTAGTAGTTCCCTAGCTCTTTACCCAATTCTGTAGAAGTACTAGCACTCCCATCTTCTAGATGAGAAAACTGAGGCACAAGAAAGTGCAGGATATGTATCAGATCACATGAATGGGAAGAAGTGAGATCTGGGTTCAAACCCAGGTCTGCCTGGTTCTGGGCCTATAAGGAAAGGGGGTGGGTTTTATGTTTGGAACAAGGGGAGAAGGGAGCACCACCTACCTCTCTGAAAGACCTGGACACTGTCCTTGTACTGACAGGTTAGGATGACAACTGTCCAATCAACCCCTTTTGGGTGCTGCATTTTGGCCAAATGGAGGAGCTTCCTGAGGGAGCAATATGGTATGTGAATATTTTTTAAATTATCATACACTAAAATTGATTTTTTGTATATAGCTCCATAGATTCTAATACATGTCTAGATTCTTATGGCCATCACTATTATACCCCAAAAAACTTCTTCATGCTATCCCTCCTCCATCCCTAACCCTGACACTCACTGATCTGTTCCCCATAGTTACAGGTTTATCTTTTCAAAAATGTCAAATAAAGCCTAAGATGGGAGGATCCCTTGAGACCAGAAGGTTTTTTTCCCCCACCCCCCCAACCCAGGACCCTGGGACCTCCCACCCCATTCCTGTTCTCTTGAGCCCAGGAGTTGGAGTCCAGCCTGGGCAATATAGTGAGACCCTGGTCTCTAAAACAAAAGAAAAAAAATTTTATTTAAATAAATTTGTTTAATTGTCAAATAATTGGCATACAATCTTTTTGAGATTAGCTTCTTTCATCCATTTCTTTTTTTTTTTTTTGAGACAGAGCCTCAAGCTGTCCCCCTGGGTAGAGTGCCGTGGCATCTCAGCTCACAGCAACCTCCAACTCCTGGGCTCAAGCGAGTCTCCTGCCTTAGCCTCCCAAGTAGCTGGGACCACAGGCGCCCACCACAATGCCCGGCCATTTTTTGGTTGCAGCCGCCATCGTTGTTTGGCAGGTCCGGGCTGGATTCGAACCTGCCACCTTAGGTGTATGTGGCTGGCGCCTTAGCCACTTGAGCCACAGGCGCCGAGCCAGTTGCTGCACATTTCAACAGCCCACTCCTTCTCTTCCCTTGAATGGATGTGGCACAGTCTGTTTCTCCTTTCACCCATTGAAGGACATTTGAGCTGTGTCCAGTTTTCTACAGTCATGAGCTGCTATAAACCTTTGCTATAGGTTTGTGTGAGCATAAGGCAGTGGTTCTCAACCTGTGGGTCACGACCCCTTTGTAACAATGAAAATACATTGTGGCATTAGAAAGTTGAGAACCACTGGCAAAAGGCTTCATTTCTCTAGGTGGACACCCAGGTGGGATTGCTGGGTCATGTGGTAAGTGTAGGGTGCTGTCCTAAACCATGAGTGTGGGTGATTTCCCCAGGGAGTGTTTGGGAGGAAGGACGTGAGGAAGATGGAGAGGCAGCTGGGCGCCCCTTAGGCAAGCGGCTGCCTTTCTGTACCACCAGCACACACCCCCATTATTCCACTACCCGCTGTGAGCTGGAGTGAGAGAGGAATGAGTCAGCCTCCTTAGGCTGAGGGCAATTCCCTAGAGGAGGAGGAAGCTGTGAGGAGCCCACATGCCCGCTGTAAGCTGTGCAAGGAGGGCACCAGCCTATTTAAGAGGATCTGGGCAGAGTGCCACACCCACTCAGGGGCCTCCCCTCACAGATGCTCTACACCAGCAGGGGCAGCAGCCCTATCTGTCTGTCATCTTCCTCCAGGGCACTCTAAGCAAGTGGGCACAAAGTGAGCCCAAAGCTATGGCTTTACCCTGCCCCCAACCCCAGGAACACTCCTGCCAAATGGGAAACCAGTGTGACTCCAGAGCCTCTGGCCTACCCAAGACCACCTATGCATGACTCCTTTGGAGTTCCCTGGCACTCACCTCTGGGGGACTCCCACTGTTGTCTCACCCTCCACTTCTTCCCTCCAGCCTCCAAAGCCCAGCAGGGGGAGGGAGGGACAGGGGAAGCAAGCTAGGTGCCCCTGCCTGAGATTTACCCTAAGCAGGGAGTGGTCAGTGCATGACCCAGCCAAAAGCCCACAGAAAATCTAAACCTCAGAACAATGTCCTTATAGGACAGATTCTGCTGCCACCAAGCCTATGGATAAGCCTGACAGGATACGGTCAGCGCCTGTAGCTCAATGGGTGGGGCGCCAGCCTCATAGTATACCAAGGGTGGCAGGTTCAAACCTGGTCAGGCCAAAGTGCACAGAAAGTCAAGTGTTGTGGGTGCCTGTAGTCCCAGCTGCTCAGAAGACTGAGGCAAGAGAATTGCCTAAGCCCAGGAGTTGGAGGTTGCTGTGAGCTGTGTGATGCCATGGCACTCTACCAAGGGCAATAAAGTAAGACTTGGTCTCTCTAAAAAAAAAAAAAAGCCTGATAGGATACCACCACTTATTGGCTCGGCACCTGTGGCTCAAGTGGCTAAGGCACCAGCCATGTACACCTGAGCTGGCAGGTTTGAATCCAGCCTGGGCCTGCCAAACAACAATGACAACTGCAACCAAAAAATAGCTGGGCATTGTGGCAGGCGCTGTAGTCTCAGCTACTTGGGAGGCAGAGGCAGGAGAATCGCTTGAGCCCAAGAGTTGGAGGTTGCTGTGAACTGTGATGCCATGGCACTCTACCCAGGGTGACAGCTTGAGGCTCTGTCTCAAAAAAAAAAGGATACCACCACTTGGCAAAACCCACACTCCCCCCACCCCACGCTTTCAGGAGATGCCTCCTCCATTAGTAACAAAAATTGCCTTGTTCCCAGCTCAGCCAGAAGGGAAATCCAGAGAGGGGGATCTGAACTAGAGATCCTGGCTGGCATCCAAGGAAAAAGGCTTTTCCCAGGATGTCCACCTGGCCTGCCTTGTGAAGGGGGCTTCAAGGGACCCCTAAACCTTAGGTTTCCTGCAGCAGGGAGTATAACTGACAGCTGCTACAATCTGAATCCCCTACTTGCTCACATGGAGGCCATGCTTCCTTCTAAATCAGTGGTTCTCAACCTTTCTAATGCCGTGATGTATTTTCTTTGTTACAAAAGGGTCACGACCCACAGGTTGAGAACCGCTTCTCTAAATGCTCCCAATGACTGAGCACCACAGGGATGCAGACAGTCCTATCTCTGCAAGACTCCAGACCCTCCAACAGGTGGTCTTGGCTTCACAACTCCCCAATAACCCAGCTGAACTTAGAATTGCACAGCATCCCAAAGTGCATCAATGTACACAGTTACCATTCAATAAAAAAAAAAAAAAAAAAAGAATTGCACAGCAAGCTGAACCTCTTCCTATCTGTCCCTCCCTCCTTCCTATGTGCCTTCAAGGGAGTCAGACCCAGATCTCAGACTGACCACCTCCAGGTCCCTCCTCTTTTTCCTTTCCCCAATAAATCTCTTCCAAGTCTAATCCCATCTTTACAGCTACTTCTCAGAGGACTCAGACTAACATGGAAGGAATAATATCCTCTTCTTGGTACCGTCAAAGCAAAAACCCCTGGAAGAACCTCTAATTTAACATCTAAGAAATTTTCTTTAACCTTAAAGATAAAGAAACTAAAGCACAGAGAAATAAAGTAACTTGCCTAAGATCACACAGCTAACCAGTGATGGAGCCGAATTTGAACCTAAATACTTTTTTTCAGAGTCCATTCTGTTAACTACTATACTGTAACTACTTTGTAGGGTTGGGAAAAGAACAAAAAGAGTAAATATATGTAAAGTATTCAATACATATTTCAATATAATTATGACAAAGCCTAAACAAATACATGTATAAGGTAACGGAATGGGAATATTGGTGATAACAGCTACTGGACCAAATTCACCCACTCTGGACCACAGTTAAGAAACTATGACTTGAGGGCCGGGCATGGTAGCTCATGCCTATAATCCTAGCACTATGGGAGGCTGAGGCAGGTGGATTGCTTGAGCTCACAAGTTCCATCCCTTGCAAAAGCAAGATCCCATCCCTACTAAAAATAGGAAAACTGAGGCAACAGGATCGCTTGAGCCCAAGAGTTGGAGGTTGCTGTGAGCTATGACACCATAGCACTCTACCCAGGGCAACAGCTGGAGACTCTGTCTCAAAAAAGAAAAAAAGAAACTATGACTTGGTACAGCGGCTCACACCTGTAAACCTAGCATGCTTGGAGGCCAAGGTAAGAGGACTACTTGAGCTCAGGTGTTAACCAACCTGAACAAAATGGAGACCCCCATCTCTAAAAAATATAGAAATATTAGCTGAGTGTGGTAGTGTGCACCTACAGTCCCAGCTACTCAGGAGGCAGAGGTAGGAAGATCTCTTGAGCCCAGGAGTTTGAGGTTGCAGTGAGCTGTGATGTCACCAGGCCCTCTAGCTGGGGCAACAGAGTGAGACTCTCTCAAAATATTAATAATAAATAAATGAAATACATGAAGCTATGATTTTTTTTATCCTCACAACCCCCTTACAGATATTGTGATATTATTATCTCCACTGTACAAAAGCTAGGAAATGCTTTAGTCAAGGTTAGTACTTGGGTCACTCAGATTTTTTTTTTTTTTTTTTTAGATGGAGCCTCAAGCTATCCCCCCCTGGGTAGAGTGCCGTGGCATCACAGCTCACAGCAACCTCCAACTCCTGGGCTCAGGCTAGTCTCCTGCCTCAGCCTCCCAAGTAGCTGGGACCACAGGTGCCTGCCACAATGCCCGGCCATTTTTTGGTTGCAGCCATCATTGTTGTTTGGCAGGCCCGGGCTGGGGATTCGAATCCGCCACCTTAGGTGTATGTGGCTGGCGCCTTAGCCACCTGAGCCACAGGTGCCAAGCTGGTCACTCAGATTCTTATTCAGGTGATGATAATAATGCTATCCAGCCCCAAGTAAAGCATTGAGATGGTCCCGAAGTTCTGAACCCAGTCTTAGTATCAGCCAAGTGACAGAGCAACATAAGCAACTGATAGGTTTTTGGCCAGAGAGGACAGGTATCCCTGTCTGAACCAAACTCTGCTACAGACAGAAGCAGAGGAACAGTCCTGGGCTAAATATCAGCTCTGTGCCCATCTCTGCCTCATCCTGTGTGACCCCAGGAAGGTTCCTTAACCACCCTGAGCCTGTTTCCTAATCTGAAAACTGGGGCTACAGACACCAAACTCCTAGGACTGTTGTTGGCATCAAATAAAACATAAAGTATGTGGTATAGAGCAGTGGCTCAATGAAATGTAGATCTTTCAGGTGGGGCATGGTGGCTCACACTTGTAATCTGAGGCAGGTGGATTGCCTGAGCTCAGGAGTTCAAGACCAGCCTGAGCAAGAGCAATACCCCATCTCTAAAAAAAATAGCTGGGCCCTGTGGCAGTCACCTGTAGTCCCAGCTACTTATGAGGCTGCAGCAAGAGAATCACTTGAGCCCAGGAAGGCATCAGAGTGAGACTCTGTCTCAGGAAAAAACAAACAAACAAAAAAAAAACCTGCAGCTCTTTCCAGCCTGGCAGAGCAGAAGAGTTTAACCTGGATCTGAGCAGGAGGAACTAAAAGCTCTGAAATATCCTTGTGTCAAAGAATCAGAGAAGGACTGGGGGAATCAAGCAAGTCTGAGAGGCATCCCACACAGGAATGTAGCATGACACAGGTAACTAACCCACACTGCTTTTTTCAGGAACTACACCAAAGGCATTCCAGGATCAGCTCACATGATCCACCCAACAGCCCCAGGAGTTAGATTTTATCTCACTACAGCCATAGAGGAGAAAACTGTATCTTAAAGAGCCAAGCAGCCTACCCAAGGTCACACATAGCTAGTATAGGCAGGCCAGGTGGCATCCAACACAAAGCTTTATGCTGCTAATCATAAATACCTGCAGAAAGAAAGTATCTCTCTTAGAATTCCTGGCCCCTCTGTCACACCTGACATTTGTATACAAAGAAAAAAATTCAGACCCCTAATTGCTTCAATATTCTTCTGCCCTCTTTCAATAGAACTTCATCTGCTAAGTAAGATATTGTTTAATGTCCTCAGCCACAGGCTGTCCTCCAAGGTTGGGATAGGGTGGGGGAGCTAGAGACAGAATAAAATAAGGACTTTTCATAAATATTTTTTGGAGAGGTGGGCCAGGGACTCTGCGCATTTTAGAGTTTAAAAAGAAAAACAAATGAGCTCACGGAGGACTCTGATTTGCTGCCGCCTTAATACCGGTAACGGGCAGAAAGAAGTTGGCTGGGAGCAAAATCATGCTGTACATTACACAACAGTGTATCAATGAGATTGGTGCGTAACGTTGAGCCCTGACGGAGTAAACTGAGGCAAGGAGACGCAGCCTCAAAGCAAAATCAGAGCAGTGCCGGCATCAAGCGTCCCACCTGCCTCAGAGGTAAGAGACCCCGACCCCCTATCCCTCCCTGTCCCGGTCGTCCGCAGGTACTGCAGCACTGCCCAGGTCCCGGGACTCGGGCTGGAAGACCCAATCCCAGGACAAGGGGAGGCTGGAAACCAGGAGGCTCCTCCCGCAGCAGGTGGGCTCTCTGGGGGCGCCGGTGAAGTTCCCAGAGACTTCTCCCTATCAGGACCCAGGAGATTCGTGGCCCAGCTCCGCGCTCCTGACCGAGGAGAGGGCACTGGGAAACCGCGGGGGGATTGGCGCGTCGCCAGGACCTGCAGGGACAAGCGGGGCAAACGTACCTGCGACCTCCCGGCGCTCCGCGGGGCGGGCTCATTCACTTGGGCCGCGCGCCCCGCAGTGCACCCTGGGAAATGTAGTTTCACGCCTTCGCCCGCACAGGCGGACTGTGTCTCCCGCGCCAGCGCACCCTGAGAAGACACGCGCCGAGCTACCGCGGCTCGGCGGATACCTTCAGGGTAGAGCTTTCCCAAAGGGCGGTGGATCTTCATAGTCAGAAGGGAGGAGTGCCTGGAGGGCCATGCTGTAGCCAGCGAAACTACAACTCCCGGAGCGTCCAATGCGTCTTAAAGACACAGGCCCGTTTTCTGGGACTCCGGGTCCCAGTTTTGGGGGTGTTGGTTTGGACGTTGGACAGGCGAGGCGGACGGAGCGGGGGGGTTATGACCCTCTGGCCTCAGCCAGGGGCCGCCGCTTTCCTCGGGAGAAAAACCCAATGAGGGGAAAAAGTCACATTCTTGCTCCAGCAGAAACAGAAACAGTGAATTTGCAGCCCGCGGTTCTTTCGCTGGTTTCGTGACTTGGGTCCTCCGGGAAGAAACTTTACAACTCAGGCAGTGGGAAGAGGATCTGCGGTGCATTTGGAAAAGTTGTTAATGACAGCATTGTTTTGTCATTGCCGGAGATTAGAAACACCCCAGGGTCTCTCTCTCCCTAGGATACTGGAAAGCTAAACTAGGCACATCTTTGCAATGGAACACTGTGTAGCAGTTAGAACAGGGCGTATTGTAGAGAACGATGTTCAAGACATTTTGTTGAGAGAAAAGGAGCAAATTGTAGAACAACTATGTAAGAGTAACCACTCTCGTCAAAAATATTTATGTACGTATAGTATGGGTTATGCACAGGAACAGAGCTGGAAAGGAGAGCATCCTGGGGCGAGACTAGCAAGGATGGGAGGGGCAAGTAGAACTTGAGTTTAGTCTGGATGTTTCTTGCTAAGAGTCTAATTTCAATTCTACTGGCGTTTGTTAATAGGGAGTCTGCCGTCAGTCTCAACAGAGATGGGTAACCTTGTTCTAATTCTATGTAACCATCTGTAAAATGGGTTAATATACAACAATAAAAAGCAAAAAAATCTAGGTTAATAATAGTATCAAACGCCTGAGATTGTTGTGAGGATAAGACAAATGATTGACCCCATAGTAAGTGCTTTTAAAAGTTAACCTTTGGCTCGGCGCCTATAGCTCAACCAGCTAAGGCGCCAGCCACGTACACCTAAGGTGGCGGGTTCGAATCCCCAGCCCGGACC